TAAAACAGCTATTCAAAGTTACGATTTGATTTTATATTTTGAAAACCAACCAGATGTTTTCACCGCAGAAGGCGGGGCCAAATACTGGATGGCAGAAACCAAGCGGGCCAGCCTGAGTGTGAACACCCCTCGAGGGCCGCAGCCTCCTGGATCAGGGTGCGGGGTCTCTACATCCCTACAGTCCCCCCGCACGACCCAGACCACCCCGTGACACAAGCCACCAGCGCCGCTGGGCACACAGCAGAAGGAAAGCAAAGGGAACCTCTTGGCAGTGGTTCTCAACCTTCCTAATGCCGGGACCGTTTAATACAGTTCCTCATGTGGTGGTGACCCCTGACCATAAAATTATTTTCATTGCTACTTCATAACTATAATTTTGCAACTGTTATGAATTGTCATGTAAATATCTGATATGCAGGATGTATTTTCATTGCTACCAATTGAACATAATTAAAGCATAATGATTAATCACAAAAACAATATGTAATTATATATGCATTTTCTGATGGTCTTAGGCGACCCCTGTGAAAGGGTCGTTCGACCCCCAAAGTGGTCGCGCGACCCACAGGTTGAGAACCGCTGCTCCAGAGGCTCGTCCACCCAGCGCCCAGGGCGGGCCGGGTTAAATTCTGACGGGCACCCAGCGGCTGTAGGAGGCGAACACAACAGTAACTTCTCTTTGGGACACTTTGAAGGAAATGCGCACGCCACCCGGGCGCGTTATTCCATTCGCTCTGGTTCCTGCTGGGAATTTTCCGCAATCCCTCCGCACTGCGCGGGCTCCGCCGGCAGCCCCGGCCCCGCGACCGTGACCCCGGCGCCGCCCGCACGCCCCAGCGCCGAGCACCAGCCCCACCGGAAGTCACTCGGGGCGGGCGCCGAGGTCTCCGGAGTCCCTTCGGTCAGCACCCGCGCCGGAAGCACCGTGCTCGGGTGTTTACACGCTGCACACGCGACGGACGCCCGGCCCGCCGCCCAGGTACCGCAGAGAGCGCGGGCGCAGCCTGCAGCCCTCGGAGCCCCCGTGTGGAGCCGCGCGCCGGAAACGCTCGCCGGAGGCGCTGAGGGGACGGTGGCCGCGCCGGGTCTGACGCCGCCGCCGGCCGCGCGCTACTCACCCCGGCGCCGGCAACGCAAGATCCCGGCCTTCTGGGACTCGGGCTGTGGCATCTTCCCGCCCTCCCGCCACAGCCCAGGTCCAGCCGCACGAGCCGCCGCGGGCGGGACAGCCGGCAGGAAACGCTGCGCCGAGCGCGGTCGTGGCCGCGGGCTCGCCCAGGCCTCGGGCGCTTGGCCAGTGCCGGCGCCGCAGCCTCGACTCCCGCGAGCGCGCGCGCCGAGGCGACGAGACGGAGGCCCCGCCCCCGCGCGGCGCGGGTGACGTCACCACCCGGTGGCGCCGCGGCCCCAACGTGGTCCAGGACGTGGTCGAGGCCTCGCGCGTGGCCGGGCGCCCTGGGCCGCCCGCGGCGCTCTTCGTGTTTCCCGTCTGATAGAAAGCCTTGTCAAACACAAACACCGTAAACATGAAGGGATGTTCGGCGTCACTTAGGATGAGAGAACTGCGGGACGCTGGTTGCAGTGTAAAGGTCTCAGGCTAGCAATGCACCCGGGCGGCGGTGCAGGAGCCCGTGTCGCTGCGGGAGTGAGGAATAAGCACCCCGGGGAGCGACGCCCACGCAGCCCCTTTGGCCTCACCTGGCGACACTCCGAATCTTGGATTTCACGCCTGGCGCACCTACTTAGAAATCAAAATCTGCCTTTTACCCAGATCTCCAATGGCACTAAAATGCCCTTTGAGGAGCATTGCGGTTAAGCCCAGGGTCTTTGAGGTTGGGCTGGTTAGCTGGTGTATGGACTGTGCTAGTTTGGCTTTACACTTGCCAGATGAAATACAAGCCTGAAATATGAATTTCAGATAAAGAATAATTTTGTAGTATAAGCATACATACTTATACTAAAGTATTATTGTGCTGGGGTCCAACTCCAGCAGGTCCAGGAGTTCCCAAAGGCGTAGACGGAGTCGGCGAAGAAGGAAGGACACGGAGACAGTGTTCAGTTGATCAGCAGCCTAGCCAGGATCTCCAGCCAGGATCTCCAGCCAAGTTCTGGTCTGGATCTCCAGCGAAGTTCTGCTGTTTATTGTCTTGTTACATCCGTATTTATCCCAGTTGATTTTAATCCTGTCAATTTCTACTACAAAGGTTAGGGCGTTTCTTATCTCCATTCCAGGGAGTAAAGATTATGTAGCTTAAGCATGATTGTTTGTAGTGATTAACTAACCGCCTGGCACTTAGTTAAGGAGTTTCATCCCCTCCCTGACTTCAGGGAAAAATTCCTACCTGGGGAAACAACCTTTCTAGGAGAGGCATCCCCTCCCTGACTTCAGGGAAAAATTCCTACCTGGGGAAACAACCTTTCTCGGAGAGGTGACCTTGGTTAAAACACACAGCGCTAAGGGGAGCAAACATATTAAGAACAGTATGCTATATACGCCAGGTCCCTTGAAACATATGCTGTGCAGATGTTTCTTTCCTGCAGCGACTGTGTCAAGCAGCAAGGATGGACCGGCTTCCAGCATTATTGTTTGTCCAAAATTCAGATATAGCAGCCATCCTGTATTTTTGCTAAATCTTGCAACCCTAATCTCGGGCAACTTCTAACCTTAGTTTTCTCATCTATGAAATGGGAATAATAATAGGACCTATATCATAAAGTTGTGTGGTTGAAAGATAATCCATGCAGAGTACTTACCAGGTGTATGAAAGATAACGCTCAGTAAGTGTTAACTCTTTAATTATTTCATACTGGTGTGTCTTAGCATAAATTCCTAGAAGTATGCCTTTGTTATAGAACTCTGGCTTAATTTACTAGTAAGGCTTGTCTGAGTATTCGGTCATACCAAAAAAATGGTGTTTTGTGAAAAGCCTTGAGCAGGTTAGGAGATACTTCTCTACTAGCTGCAGAATACAATTCAGATTTTTAAATTCCCATATGAAAACAAAACATTGTCACCTCCCAGCAAGTACGGATTTCCTCCCAATCACACCAAATAATTGGATGTTGATTCGGATTTGTTTTCTATTCCAGAGTCCACTGAATCAATATTTGAGAGGTTGTTTAAGTAACATTTCTAGTGGTGAACTAGAAATGATGTCTAGTGACTGAACTCGATTGCTACAAAGCTGACTTAATATTAGGCCCAGGGCTCTAAAAGAACATTTGTCTTTTTCTTTCTGCAAGCTGATTGTTACATCCTCCTCCTTTATACTTAAATTATTCTTAAATTTTAAAACTAGAAAAGGTGTTACTTCAAGAGGATGCTCTATATTCTTACTACTTTTTTTCCTTCTGCTACAGAATTTCTATTTTGTATTTTACTCTAATTTTAACAGATTTATGGGTTCATTATAATCAATATTTTACTACATGTAAAATATGGACCAAGAATATAATGATAATGTTGTGCTTATTTTGTACTGCTAGATTGACCTTTTAAAGTCTTTTTTTTTTTTTTGAGAGAGAGACATAACACTTTAATAGATGAAATAAATACTCCATTAAAGTCTTAATCAAGTTCCCCTGGCCATCTGTAATATATGAGCACAGGCTTTTCCCATGTCTTTCTTGCAACAGGATTTGTAGAGTATTTTGCTAAATATGTAACTATAAAGACATTGTAAACGGATTCCTTTTTCTTTACATTGCATTTATTATCTCAGAGAACACAAGCTTCATGAAGGGAGGGGTGTTTGCCGGCTCCATTTCTGCTGCACCCCAGCGCCTAGGAGGGCACCTGGCCTGTGATGACCAGTCAGTCATTGACCGAATGAGCATAATAGATGAGCCCAGTTGTTTATTGCTGTAAAAAACACTTGATGTGCATGGCTCAATGGTTGAGTGTCAACTTATGAACCAGGAAGTCACGGTTGGATCCCTGGTCAGGGCACATGCCCGGATTGTGGGCTTGATTCCCCAGTAGGGGGCGTGCAGGGGGCAGCCGATCAATGATTCTCTCTCATCATTGATGTTTTTAATAATTAAATATATTAATTAAAAAAACAGTTTATGTCTTCGCCAGCATAGGCTATGTTTAGTGGTCCTGCCCTAAGTTTCCCCCACTCCTTTTTACTCCTTTCCATGTATTCCTTCACTTATTTTCTCATTCTCTTTGTCTTTGTGAATTAAATATACTTCACTTTCCCAGCCACCTGCACCAGGGAGAATGCACCAGAGGGAAAAAGGACTTCCCATCGGAGGGAAGTACTTTAGCCATCTGGGAGTGTGTTCACACAGGACAGACTTGGAACCTACCTGCCTCTTCCCCGATCTCAGCTCAACAGTTCTCGAGTCAGTCAGAACAGAGATTATCAACAGGGCCCGCATTAAAGAAGCGTTAGGAGAGCTATAGGCCAGAGTTATAGGAGAAGAGACGTGAAAAAGGCAAAATCAGAAGTGGGGCAGTAGGGCAGTAGGGGTGTCTCCAAGTGACAGGACAGATGGGAACAAATGGGAGCTGGACCGGGACACCCAGGCAAGTGGACTGGACATCAGAAGCTCAGGAATCCAACTAAGCAAGGTGCCAATGCCATTATCGATGTTGGCAGCAAGAAAGGAGTTGAACCAAAGTGGGTATTACCAACCAAGGCTCTCTGTGAGTATCTCTCTGAGAAGACCACTGGGTCAGGCCGTCTTTCTGGAGTAGGAATAGAGTTGGCAAAGGCTCCAAAGGCGACCAGGACCAAGTGAGTTTAGCAAACAATTGGAGAGAATTATGTGATAGAGTCTCAGCTAATTGATAGTGTGCACTTCCAATGTTCAAGGTCTTGCCACCCCAGAAATTTAGTGGCAAATGAGTTACAAGGTATTAAGGACTATCACGAAAGGAGCAAGGACAGCTCTGTTGTAGGCCACTCTGGCTGTATTTCATATAATGTCACGATGTTCCAAACTTGTGCTCTTCTCTATGTTGAAGGCCGAGGGGACTTTTTAACCCTTCATTAATGAAAATTATTTGCTTTCATTTGAAGAGATGTCTCCAGTTCTGGGAAGACAGTATCCAGATACCACTGAAATGACTTGCAGCCCAATCGTCTCCTTAATTCAACACGCTCACTAATGTTTCCATAGGGGATGAATTTCAGATCAGGTCTTCGTAAGAAAAACTGCTCCTACATGGAAATAAAGAGTTTCATTAAACCAAGCTAATCTCTGGTCATCAAATCATGACATCACAAGAACTTTAAAAAAAATTTTTAAAAAAATACCTTCTAACTTCCTCTGCACAGGGACACACACAGAATCGGGGACTTACCCCACATGTATGCACAATATGTGCTATGATAGACCATGGCAGAGGTAGGGTATATCCCCTCTCTCTTACTCTCTCAGTGATACTCAAGGACAAAAATCCCTCACTGCCCCATTCCAATCAGTACTTCCTTGGGCTTAGAAATGGGGACGATGTGGTAGCTAAGGGCAAATAGACTCTGGAGGAAGACAACTGGGTTTAAATGTTAGTCGGTTCTGCTACTTATTAACTAGGTAACCTTGGCCCTTACCCTCATGAGGTTGTTGTGAGGACTGGACACTTTAATACACGCAAAGCCCTGGGGAGATGAAAGCTAGCACATAGCCTCACGTCAGTATGGGCCACTATTATTACCACACCTGTTAGTCTTTTACGCTCTCTGAAGGAAGCACCAAGGATGAATATCTAATGCACTCAACCTGCTTCATATTAAAAGTAGTATTCTAAGTAGACCAAAGCCTCCTTATATTTTCATCTGTGTATTCCCAGTGCCCAGCATGCAGTATAGTAATATTGTAGAATGAGGGGAGCTTGCTTATTTCAATTAGCATATTACGGGCATGCCATGTTGGATTCTCCCAGGGACTCTTGGCCACTGGAGGTCTTTGCCATCTTCTCTTGTCACTGCCTAGTTCCCCAGGCTGGTTGATGCATGGGGTGAGTGAACCTAAGGGTGGGGGAGGGGTGTCATCATTTTGGAGTGAAAACAGAGAAGATCTTAGGCAATATCTCCCTGTTTGGAGACTTCTCTTATCCAATGTCACTCACTAAGGTTTCCAGTGTGCTGTGTCATACAGTCCCTTGAGTATGCCAAACATCATATTCTTTCTAAGTTAGATGAACTTTTTGACACTCTATCTTCTGTGATATTCAGTAAACTCAGTCCTACCTGTGTTCAAGTCGACTACTTAAATCTGTGATCAGAGTTCACAGAAAAGAAATCAACAATCATAGCACATACTTACCAAGAAACTCTAAGCAGTATAATTTAGAGAGTACTTCAGGGGTAGAACTCCGAGCTTAGAAGGCTTTCATTTTACTTCATACTTTTCAGTACTAAGTGCCTTTTTAAAATGAATTATGTTTTACTTTTAAAAAAATGATTTTTTAAAAATCAGGAAATATAATACATGCAAAAAGTTCATAGAACATAAATGTGCAACATAATGGATCATTGAAAGATCAACGTTGGTAATGCTGACTAGGTCAAGAAATAGAACATAACTCGAGTCCCAGAAGCCCCTGGCCTCCCCCTTCCTGGTTGCCATTCTTTCTCTTAGTTTTCAATGCCTTCTTGATTATGGAGTCACTTCTTTGCTTTTCTTTCTAGCTTTGCTATCTAAATATGCATATATAGATTATACGGTTTAATTTTACCCATTTAAACTTATAGAAAAATACACTATATTTTACTGTATTTGGCTGCTTTTGTTCTCCATTATGTCCTTAAGATTTACCTATACCAGTGATGGTGAACCTTTTGAGCTCGGCGTGTCAGCATTTTGAAAAACCCTAACTTAACTCTGGTGCCATGTCACATATAGAAATTTTTTGATATTTGCAACCATAGTAAAACAAAGATTTATATTTTTGATATTTATTTTATATATTTAAATGCCATTTAACAAAGAAAAAGCAACCAAAAAAATGAGTTCATGTGTCACCTCTGACACGCGTGTCATAGGTTCGCCGTCACTGACCTATACTGTTGTATCTACTGTTGGTTAATTTCTGCTACCATAGCAATTAAATATATCACATTTATCCATTCTACTTTTTTTTTTAAATATATTTTATTGATTTTTTACAGAGAGGAAGGGAGAGAGATAGAGAGTTAGAAACATCGATGAGAGAGAAACATCGATCAGCTGCCTCCTGCACACCTCCCACTGGAGATGTGCCCGCAACCCAGGTACATGCCCTTGACCGGAATCGAACCCGGGACCCCCCAGTCCGCAGGCCGACGCTCTATCCACTGAGCCAAACCAGTTTCGGCTATCCATTCTACTTTTGATGAGTATTTGTGCTGTATTCATTTGAGGCTAATAAACAGTGCTGTTTATAAACATTCTTATTATGTGTTCTGGTGCACAAAAGCACGCATTTCTGTAGACTGGAACTGTTGGATCATGGGATATTCATATCTTTTACTTAATATTGCCCATCTGTTTTCTAAAGTGAGCTTGTGATAATAAGCACTCCTGCCATCCGTGTCTGAGAATTCCTGTTGCTTGCTAACACTTGGTCCTGTCAGATTTTAAATGATAAATATCTCCCTGAATTGTTGTTGTTTTTAACCCTCACCCGAGGAAATGTTCTTCATTGATTTTTAGAGAGAGAGGAAGGGAGAGGGAGAGAGAGAGAAGCATCAATGTGAGAGAGAAACATCTATCAGTTGCCTCCCGTACACACCCCAACCAGGGATAGAACCCACAACCTGGGCATGTGCCCCGACTGAGAATTGAATCCGTAATCTTTCAGTGTATGGAATAATGCTCCAACCACTGAGCCACACTGGCCAGGGCTCTGCCTGAGGTTTTCATTCACATTGCCCTGATTGCTAAAAAAAATTGAGTATCATTACTTTTATAACTTTAAATAATAAATTAAAGAAGCATTAGATCAAGACCAGGGCATATAATATCACAGAGAGATTCTTACACGTTTCTACCCGTGTATCTGAAGGGAGGTCTTGGTGAGGTTACTGTCCATGTCTGTTGTGCAGGGATTCTGGATGAACGACTTTTGAATTGAAATGGAGCCACACTACAGTTCTCTGTACGTGCACCCATTTAGATCCTGGCAGAGGCTTACACTTGGGGACATGCACACATGAAGGGGCTTGGCTTTGGTATGAAAAAAAATCTTTGTGTTTTTGTTTGTTTGTTTTGTTTTTAGGTTTCTTTGGTATAGAAATCTTTGGCTGTTTATAGAAAAGATGGAGATCAACATGGCCCTGACCCAGTGGCTCAGTTGGAGCATCATCCCATACACCAAAAGGTTGCAGTTTCTATTCCGGAGCAGGGCACATACGGAAGGCAACCAGTCAATGTTTCTCTCTCACATCAATGTTTCTCTTCTTTTCTTTCTCTCTTCCTACCTCTATAAAATCAATAAACACATGTCCTTGGGTGAGGATTGAAAAAACAAACACAAAAGACTTGTATAGTCCCCAGATCAGCAGCAGCCACATAATTGGGAACTTAGTCGTGGGAGAAGAGATCTAAGAGTTGCCTGTGTGGATGGGAGTAGGGAGAGGTATTTGCTTCAGAGGGGGAGTCCTTGGGGGGAAAGGGGCCAAAAGACCTAAGCTAAACAAACAAAGAAACAAACATATATCTACACTAATAAGAAAAACATGCAAATTGGTGTCACTCTGCTACGCCCACCAGCCAATCAGGATGAGTATACAAATTAACCCAACAAAGATGGCAATTAATTTGCATATGAAGGCACAGAGAGAAGACTGAAGACTCTGCCCGAGGGAAGACTGAAGATGACTGAAGACTGAAGAAGCTTGGCTTCTCTGCTGTGGCCAGAGTGGAGAAGCCTCAAGGCTTGCCTTCTCTGCTGCAGTTGGAGCGAAGGACTGGGTCCTGGGTGCCAGAGGAAAACCAGTGCTGGCATCCACGGGAAGGAAGGCCTATTGCATGAATCTCTTTGTGCAACGGGCCTCTAGTCTAATCTAATAAAAGACAAACATGCAAATTGACCGTACCTTTGCTACACCTTAAGCCATGCTCACCAGCCAATATATGCAAATTAACCCAACCAAGATGGCGACTGGCAGCCACTGAGCTGGAGCAAGCAGGAGGCTTGGTTGCTCCAGTGATGGAGGAAGCCAAGCTTCCCGCCTGCCACGGCCAGCTCTGAGCTCCACTGAAGGCAACAAAGTTTCAATTATAGAAGGTAAATAAATCCCAGAATAAAAAAATGAAAAGATAAAAAGGAGAGGCTGGGAGCTTCCGTTGCCAGGGGGCTTGGCCAGCCTGAAAATGGCCCTCAGCCCCTCACCCAGACTGGCCAAACCTCCATGGAGTGAGGGTTTCCAGTGGGGGGTGCTTAACCAGCCTGCAAACAGCCATCAGCCCCTCACCCAGACTGGCCAGGCACCCCAGTGGGGACCCCCCACCCTAACGGGGTGTGGCCAGCCTGAAAACAGCCATCAGCCCCTCACCCAGGCTGGCCAAACCTCCATGGGGTGAGGGTCCCCACTGTGGGGGGGGGGGCTTAACCAACCTGCAAACAGCCATCAGCTCCTCACCCAGGCTGGCCAGGCACCCCAGTGGCGACCCACACCCTGAAGAGGGTGTGACCAGCTGCAAACACCCATCAGCCCCTCACCCAGGCTGGTCAGGCACCCCAGTGGGGACCCCCACCCTGAAGGGGGTTGGACAGCCTGAAAACACCCATAGGCCCCTCACCCAGGCTCGCTAGGCACCCCAGCAGGACCCCCACCCTGATCTGGGACACCCTTCAGGGCAAACCAGCTGGCCCCCACCCATGCATCAGGCCTCTATCCTATATAATAAAAGGGTAATATGCAAACTGACCCTAACAGCAGAAAGACTGGGAATGACTGGTCACTATGACACACACTGACCACCAGGAGGCAGACACTCAATGCAGAAGCTGCCCCATGGTAGTCAGTGTGCTCCCACAGGGAGAGCTCTGCTCAGCCACAAGCCAGGCGGATGGCTGCCAGTACAGCGGTGATGGTGGGAGCCTCTCCTGCCTCCTCAGCAGCGCTAAGGATGTCCGACTGCAGCTTAGGTCTGCTCCCCACTGGCAAGTGGACATCCCCCGAGTGCTCCCGAGCTGCTAGAAGGATGTCTGACTGCCAGCTTAGGCCCAATCCCCCAGGGAGCGGGCCTAAGCCAGCAGGTGGTCATCCCCCAAGGGGTCCCAGACTGTGAGAGGGCACAGGCTGGGCTGAGGGACACCACCTCCCCCCGCCCCGAGTGCACAAATTTTTGTGCACCAGGCCTCTAGTATATATATAAAAGCCTAATATGCAAAGTGTCCCCTTGGGAGTTCGACAGGGAGACTGAGAGTTCAATCGCTCGCTATGATGTGCGCTGACCATCAGGGGGCAGCACAGAATGAAGGAAGGCCCCGGCTGGTAGCTGGGCAAGGGAGGCCCCTGCCAGCAGCCAGAATAAAGGCCCTGGCCAGCAGCCAGAAGACCTCAATTGGCCCTGATCACCGGCCAGGCCTAGGGACCCTACCTGTGCATGAATTTCGTGCACCAGGCTTCTAGTAAATAAATAAAATACTCCTTGTGTTGGTTGACTCCCTTCTGAGAAACTCAAGTTTCCCTAGAAATTAAAAGTCAGGTGCAAGTGTAGCAACTTTGAATGAACAATTGAGAACAGGATCTGGAGATGAGTGGCTGAGCAGTGGGAGGGATACCGCTAACTTAAGGAAAACAGAGGAAAGAACAAAACTTGCTGTCTGGAAAGGCAGTAGAAGACTTCTGCAGAGCAAGTCCCACTGTGCACATTCATCTGTTCAAAGCACAGATGTATCCTTTACCTTGTATTCATCCAGCCAAACGTGTACCAGTCTGAGGTTGTTATATCTCAGGGCTTTGAGAACTTGGGTTACATTTTGGATAATATTTCTATCAACATGTCCTACTCGAGAGCAGGGCAGTATAAAGAGCTGGCCTCCACACATCCAGATCTAGACATAAGAAAAACAGAAAACATAATCATGTGTGTTTGCTGGTAACAGGCAACTAGTGAATTTTTTTTTACAAACATAACATTAGCTCACGTTTGTTAAGTTTCTTATTTCATTCAATCTTCACAACAACCCTATAATGTTATTATTGTGTTATCCCCATTTTACAGATGGAGGAACTAATATAGAGATTGATTAAGCAGTTTTCCCAGTGACACAGGGCTGGTAAGTAGCAGAGTACAGGAAACCCAGCCCCATCACCAGCATTCTGAATACTAGATGATTCTGCTTCTCTTATATATGACCAATTCTGAGGCTGATTATGTTTGAAGAGTGGCAACAAATTTGTCTTAAAATATTCTCCACAATGGAATAATATGCAGCTGTAAAAAAAAGAAGAATCTCTTACACTTTGACACAGCATGGAGGGACCTGGAGAGTATTGTGCTAAGTGAAATAAGTCAGTCAGAGAACGGTAAGTATCACATGATCTCACCCATATGTGGAATCTAATGAACAAAATTAACTGATGAACAAAGTAGATCCAGAGACATGGAGACATGTAATAGACTGATGAATCTCAGAGGGGAGGTGTGTGTGTGTGTGTGGGGGGGGGGGTGGCAGGAAGAGATTAACCAAAGAACTTAGACGCATTTATGCATAACCCATGGACACAGACAGTAGTGTTGTAGGCCTGGGGGGGGATGCAGAGTGGAGGGATCAAAGGGGGAAAAGGGGACATATGTAATACTTTGAACAATAAAGATACCTTTAAAAAGTTAATATTCTCACCCAGCTGGCATGGCTCAGTGGTTAAGCATCGACCTATGAACCAGGAGGTCATAGTTCAATTCCCGGTCAGGGCACATGCCCGGGTTGTGGGCTAGATCCCCAGTGTGGGGTGTGCAGGAGGCAGCTGATCAGCTGATTTTCTCTCATTATTGATGTTTCTCTCTCTCTCTCTCTCCTCCCTTCCTTTCTGAAATCAATAAAAATATATGAAAAAATGATATTCTCAAACAATATAAGAAAATATTACACTATGTTAACACCAGCGTGGCTTCACAGGGTGTGAAGTGGCAGAGGTCAGCTCTGAGGCCAACGAGGTACAAAGACAGAGTTGACAAGAACAGTCTTGGGAACACTCACGTTAAAGAGATGCCCAGAGGAGGATCTCCCTCTGGGTTTCCCGTGGAGGAAACTGAGCACCATCAGGCCATGGGAGGGGAACCAGAAATGCTGTCCTAAAAGCCAAGAAAACTTCTGGAAAAGACTGGTCTATAGTGCCAAGTGCTGCAGTAACATCAAGTCTAGAGAAGACCAAAAGCCATCCACTAGGGACATCTATAGGAAGCTGGTGACAATTCCTGGGATGATGTCACAGGATGCTGAAGGCCCCATGGTTTACCGGATCGAAGAGGAAGCAAGAAATGAAGAAGTATACACAGGCATAGACTATCTTTTCTCAGGAGGGACAAGGTTACTTCTCTGGGTTAGAGACCACTGCTAGTGTCACGACAGCGCCTTAGCTATTTGTTCGTTTTTCGTTTGTGTATGCAAAACCCAAGGATACCTACCGGATAGGAAGGGGCCATTAGGAATGGGTTGGTTGAAAATATCGAAGCAAGGAGAGTTAATACATTTGAATAATAAGTTAGCGGTTCTTCACTATATGGAGGGAATATAGAGCCAGAAAAAGGAATATACTTACTTTTCAAATATGAAAGTATCATTCACAAAGTTGATTTTAGGGTGAAAGTCCATATACTATATTCTCAGAGCAATGTAATGAAAAGGAATGATCAACCAGACAAATAAAAGTGGCAAAGACATGGGTGTTATAAAACACTGGCTGATCAGAAGGGAAGACACGAGTGGAAACAATCAATGAAAATAACTAACAGGATGCTGCCAATAAGGGCTTGGAAGAAAATATACTGCTCTAGATATTCCTATATTCATAATAAAGTGCCTGAAGGTTTATGAAATAAGTCTGCGCTTAAAATAGCTTTTAAAACAAGTGAATGAAGTAACCAGCCAAAAGAAGGAAGAGGAAGGTAAAATCCAAAACAGAAAAAAATCGTTGGAAATAAAACACAAAAAAGAAATATAATAAACAATTAGTACATGCTAAGATAACATGAAATTCAAAGTGTGACCTCTGCAGATGACTTCATAGAGTATAAAGAACAGATGGCAAAATTTAAACTGGAATGGTAGTGGCTCTCACTTATTAATCAACTCATGTAAATTCATCAATTAGGCTGTTTGCTCCACACCAACTTTTTTGGTTGGGCAAAAAGACAAGATAGAGAAAAGTGAGGGGAAATGTGAAGAGGAGTAATAGTGAGCTCACAGCTTAGTCCTTGATGTACCAGTCCATTATAAAAATCTCTTAGAGCCCTGGCCGGTTTGGCTGAGTGGATGGAGCATCGGCCTGTGGACTCAAGGGTCCCAGGTTTGATTCCGGTCAGGGTCATGTACCTTGGTTGAGGGCACATCCCCAGTGGGGAGTGTGCAGGAGGCAGCTGATCGATGTTTCTCTCTCATCGATGTTTCTAACTCTCTATCCCTCTCCCTTCCTCTCTGTAAAAAATCAATATAATATCTTAAAAAAATCTCTTAGAATTTGGTCAAAAACAAATACGTATGATAAACATACAATAAATGTTTGAATAGTACCTTATATATTTTTTAGACTCTCTTTCTAGGAATATCTACTTTGTACTTTATTCTCTCCCCCAGTTATTTCATTCAATCTCACAAAATTCTGAGAATGGCATTTATATTTATTCCTACTTAACAGGTGAGGAAACTGAGACTAGAAAAATTAATGACTTGCCAAGGACCTTTCAGTGGTAGAGCCAGGACTAATTCTCAGCTCTAATAACACAGGATTTTTTAAAAGTTGAATCTATTTTTAATAATTGAGATATAATTCACACACTACAAGAAATCACTCTTTTAAAGGATGGACTTTCGTGATTTTCAGTATTTCTTCAAGATTGTGCCACCATTGCCATTAATTCCAGAACATTTGTACCTTCCTTAAAGAGACTTGGCACCCACCAGCACTCAGACTCCTTCCTCCAGCCCCTGGCAACCACGAATCTACTTTCTGTTTTAATGGATTCACTTATTCTAGCCATTTCATATGAATGGACTCATAGATATAAGTGGCTTTGTGACTGGCTCCTTCCACTTACCATACTGCTCTCAAGTTTCACCTGTGTGGTAGCAAGTACCCAGGATTCAAGAGTTAGGAGACAACTCAGACACCCTCTCATTTTACAGCCGGAGAAACCAAGACCAAAGATAGTGTATATATTCAGTGGCATCCAGGTCCCCTACCTCCTGATCCTGTGTTATTTCCACCACACTATAACTACCAAGACAATGAGTAGAATGAAAAAGAGATTCCACAATAGGTTGAAATAGTCTATTAATGTGATATGCCATACACTGGAAATAACGTATGGTAGGAAAGTCTGATATTTTATGAAATGTTTTCAATTTTTTGCAAGGAGTCCCACACATTATATATTTCATGGGATACCAGAATGATACCAGATACTCATGTAGAAAAATGGTGTAATTGCCACAGCAGATTACATGACTTAAAGTTTGATTTCACTTTGTATGTACAAAGGTAACTATTAAAAAAACCCCACAAAATCTGAATTACCCTTAGTGAAAGTTCCAAATTTTCTGCACCCCAGAGGTTCATATCCTTGTCGTACTGTCCAATCTCATTAAAATAATGCCGATTTATAGCAAAAATTCCTCCAGACATTGCGGGGGACCTAAAAAGGACACAAGTATTAAGTTGATTCTACAGACTCAGTTAGTATGGATTTGTGCCAAAATTATATTGAATATTAATGATAATACAGTTAAAAACTAGAAAACAACTATATTAACTAATGTCCAAATTTTTAAACATACATTTAAGTATGTAAAATTACTAAGTTAAAACCATAACTACCAAAAAGTAGGCAGTAACATTTACTTAGCTCTTACCAAATTATGCAAGCAATATACAGGGTAGGGTAACAGTAGGTTTACAGTTGTTCATATGGAAAATAATATACTAATCAATAATAATACAAGAATAAACTCTGTGTTTCATGTGCGCAGAACTGTAAACTTATTATTGTCCCACCTGTGTTCTAAATGTTGTCTTGGTCAGCGGGAAAATTATCCTTAGACTGCGAGTTTCCTATGGGGATGAAGACTGAATTGGGTAGTGAGTTCAGAAATCCCCCTCACTAAGGGCATTAAGGGCGGCAATTCTGACTTCAAGGAAAAACCATCACATTATAAAGCATTTTTTTTCCTTTGTCCATCAAAGCAGGACCCATAAATACAAAATTAAATAGTTTGAAAGAAATTACATGGGCCCAGCCGGCTTGCCTCAGTGGTTGAGCGTCGACCTATGCACCAGGAGGTCACGGTTTGATTCCCTATCAGGGCACAAGCCTGGATTGCAGGCTTGATCCCCAGTGTAGGGCGTGCAGGAGACAGCTGATCAATGATTCTCTCTCATTATTGATGTTTCTGTCTCTCTCTCCCTCTCTCTTCCTCTCCGAAATTAATAAAAATATTTTAAAAAAGTATTTACATGTTCATTCATTCATTCAAAAAACTACCTATTTAAAAAACAACTATCTATTAAGCAGCTTTAACATGTTAGGGATAAATTAGTGAGTCAACAGGCGAAGGTGAGAGTAGGGATACCAGGTAGAGGTTGCTGCAGTGGTCCCAGAGAAAGACAGTGGAATCTTGGATAAGGGTATAGCAAAGAAGGTGGTGAGATGTGGTCAAATTCTTGATATATTTTGAAGATGGAGCCAGCAGATTTGCTTATCATGGAATGTGGGGTGTTGGGAGGAAAAGAGTCACCATTGGCTCTAACGTTTTAGGCCTGGGTACTTGAAAGACAGACTTGCAGGGCACTGAGATGGGGAATGCTGTAGGTGGGGCAGGGTTTTGGTGGGAAGATTCTTTTGGGACGTGTTTGAGATGTGTGTTCGGCATTCAAGTAGAGAGCCCAGTAATGGTAGGATAGTTGGAGAGATGCATTTGGCATTCTGAGAGAGGTCAGGGCTGGAGACATAACTAATGGGCATCGTCAGTATAGGAGGATGAGATTCACTCTGAGGAGGGAGGGGGGAAGTGGAGAAGAGGACACGGGACCCAGACATGGACACCTCAACAGTGAGAGGTGGGAGAGAAGAGGCGGATTCGGCCGAGACGATGGGAAGGAGTGACAGTGAGGTGGGAGGAAGACCAGGAGGCCGTGGTTGTCAGGAGCCCAAGGGAAGCGTGCACGTACAAGAGGAGGAAGGGAGAGCTCAGCAGGCAGAGCAAGTGAGATGAGGACTGAGAACTGGACACTGGATTTAACAATGGGAAGGCCGTTGACAAGTTTTGGTTTTTTTGCTGGGGGAAGGGGGGGAAACAAGGCAAAGCCTGATTAAAGTGAGTTTAAGAGACAAGAGTTAATAGAGGCAAAGATCAAGGACTTGCTAGGCTATAGTGTTAGAAAATTTACTCATGTGGCTTGTAAAACAAAGAGGTTTAAGGTAAAAGAAGAGAAGTGAGCTTGGCGTCAAAAATTATCAGTAAATATGGAAAGGGGCCTGGAGGCAGTCTCTGCAGAAATAGCCTCATCGATGCAGTTAAAAGTCACAATATTCAAATCATTCTCACAGTTAGAGGTTTCCCAGACCAATAATCTAGGAAAACCATAGCTCAGTTCTCCCAGCTTCTTTAGAACCTTCCCCGAACCTCCTCTCTAACCTGCAGTCCCCTGCTCCCTCTGCACATCTGTAGTGGATGCTGTCCCACATTTTGGTACAACAAATGTGTCCAGTTTCCCAGACCATGTTCATCTCAACCGATAGAAGCCCCTGGATACATATTTTAGAAACAAATGTGGCCTGTGGCAGAGACATCTACTTTTTTCTATCCACAGAGCTGGCATTTTGTTCATTGATCAGCGTATACAAATTGCTACTGAGAGCCAAGTCCACATTCTAAAGATGGATCTTTGAGGCCAGAGGGATACTAACCACAGAGGTGTGGTGAACTGGGGTGACATGCTCATTTTCAGTGGAAGGAATTTAAAACCTACTCAATTCTATTATTATAGACTTCTAGAAACAAGATAAATAACAAAATATCATGAAGCTCAAGAAATTGAAGAAATAATCTCTGAAGGCTTCTTTCCCCCACCCCCACCCCACCCCAGGTACCAATACACATCTGCCATTTCCCCGTAACCTGAAGAAGTCTCACCGGATGGGTGTGGTGGGTCCTTCTGGTCCATCCATCTCATAAGAGAAAACAGTGTCCCATACAAATCGCAGATGCCAGTTGAAAGCTCCTCTTACAATAGGAGCGGGATAGTAGTTCAGTGTCAGGTGGTCAATGGAATCCACCATGGGACACACCACCATTTTGCGGTCCTTGGCGATGGCGGCCAGCAAGGGCTCCAGCCAGACTCTGTTCACTTCACAGTGGCTGTCCAGGAACACCAGCACGTCCCCTGGGGAGGCAGGAACAGGCTCGTGTTCACCATGTGGATGAAATACCTCACAACCCAAGCCAAAGCCCAACACAACCAGTTTGTGGAATATTTGCTGTGTGTTTGTCTCTCAAGGTGCTTTCAATCCCATTGGGGGGAGAGAACAGACACATATTTTGTACCAAAATGTGGGACATCATCCTCTACAGATGTGCAGAGGGAGCAGGGGACTGCGGGTGAGAGAGTAGGCTTGGGGAAGATTCTAAAGAAGCTGGGAGAACTGAGCCAGCCTTTGATTAAAAATATTTTTTATCTGGGCTTTGACCACTCAGCTCAAATGAGCTGACATCGCCTACTTATTTGAAATAACAAATGGATGTTTTAAAGCAACATGCTTTCAGTCAAAAGAAAATTAAATTCTCATGAGACTCAAATACAGGTCCAGGCTCTGTTTAGGCGCATGGAGATGTGGAGGGCCTCTGGGGGGAGGGGGGGGTTTTCTTTGCTGGGGGATGGGGGCCGGAAAGGCCTCATGTCCCCAGGGAAGTGTTCATACCTGAAGCGTGCGCCGCTCCAATCAGCCTGGCGCGAATCAGCCCCTCTCTCTTTGTGGTTCTTAATACTTTAATCTTTCCCCGAAACATTTCCAGGTGATAGTCTAGTTTTTCTTTCAAATCATCTGAGGGGAAACAAGTGCAAGACTTTGACAATGTGTAAACAATCACTGCAGAAATGAAAACAGCTGAGCACAGTTTTGATTGATTCCTAAAAACTATGGTAATCCAAGAGGTTCTCAGTTGGAAGGAAAATGTTATTCTATGTGAGGAAGAGAAGGAAGAGCATTTCAGCACTGAAGTCAGCTGTAAATATCCTTTTGCTCCTAGTGAAATAGCTCTATTTCAATAAATCACTCTGACAATTTTAATTGAAGCACGAGTTACGGTGTTTTGGAGCAGTCTGGCTTCACTTACAACTGCGCTTCTACCTGGGTGGTAACTCTTACCCAAGTTATCAAACCAGTTGAGTCTCAGTTCCCTCGGTACCTAACATCACTCAATATTTAGAGCAGTGGTTCTCAACCGTGGCTGCACATTAGAATCACCTGGGAATCTTTTTTAAAATCCTGATTTCTGGGCCTCATCCTCTGGAAATTCTGTTTCTTTGTTACTAATGTTGTGGCCCCACCCTATAACAAAGAAACAGAATTTCCAGAGGACGAGGCCCAGAAATTAGGATTTTAAAAAGATTCCCAGGTGATTCTAATGTGCAGCCAAGGTTGAGAACCACTGATTTAGAGGTTAATGTGATGATGATAACGGAGGCTGGGCTCAGGTGAGATGGATACAGATGCCTCAGAGACTAAATTCCTAATCCTAGAAATCTGGACCAGGAGGTGGGGATCAATGGACGCAGGTTCATTGTCATCTTGGAGAAGGAGGGATCTCCTTCCAGGTCTTTAAACAGAGGCCAGGGCCCTGCTCAGAGGCCCTTGCGAGGCAGGGGCAGCAGCTGGGCTCAGATGTCAGCAAACACCTGTCTGCCCTCCCGGACACAGAAGTCTGGGGGTTAGACTGAGGGGGAAATGGGCATTCAGCAGTAATTGCTGACATGGAGCAGAGGGCCTGCGTTCCTAGGAGACAGGCTTGTTGTTGGCTTATGGTCAACAGGGACCAGGACTCTGCGAAAGGTGGGCGCAGAGGTCAGCTCTGGACATGCCTCTGGTGTAACTCAGTGTGGGCAGATCCCGGGACCCGTCTCCTGCTCCCCAGCTGAGGGAGTCCGTTGGCAGACTACTGGTCAGCTGGGAAAGAAAGGCAAGCTTCAGTTCAAAAAATTCTCCTACCGGTGAAATTGTTGCAAGTGAAAAGCAGGAATATCTCCATCCTGAGTTCCATCAGAACACAGAACACTCCATTTCCTGCATTTTCTGTGCTGAGGTTCTGTGAGAGTCAAAGACTAAGCTCCTTGGTGGGGTGGGTGACTGTGGGTCAAGGAGGACACAGAGAGGTATCTAGGCTGGCACACACCCCAATCTTGGGCATCAGCAGCGATTCACCTCATGCCTACAGAAGGTAGGAGCAGGTCACCAGGTATTCTCTGAACTCATGATGTGGTTCTGCAAGGCTGGGGGTGGTGCCCCATGGTTATCCTGGGACTGGATCTCCACCGCACAACCCGTCCTTCTGGGTGAGAAGGTAGAGAACTCCACAGTCTAGCGGAAGATCCCACCTTATCCCCTGCTCATGGCTTTTCTGGGGACATCTTGCCCAGTATGTGGTAAAATTTGTTGCTCCCTGCTACTGATCTGCTAAGGAATTTGACCATCTCCCCACATTCCCTCCCATGCACAAGACTAGAAATAAACAGTGCTGTGCTGAATAGGAGTGGCTCCTGTAGAAATAACGTCATGTGTGATGGTGCCTGGCCAGAAGGGAAATCCCTAAATGTAGCTGACATTCGCTCGAGTTAGAGTCCACCTCTGAGTTGACACACGTGGAGTTTCTTCCTTTCTGCTCTTCTTCCTACTGTCTGTCCCTTTTTCCCCCAGCCCACAGTGGGTCAGATTCATGGTGATTGGTAAAGAAGCATTGCTTCCATGGGAAATGGACCCCACAGGGACCTGTAGACTCCAATAATTTCTTCAAGGACCTGTAATCTTCACTAATCTGGGTCCTTTGGGCTGGCCTCTGGTTTGTACTTAAGTTGTAAAACAAACAACGAATTTTAAGGGCTAAGCGTAATCAGATTTTTGTACTAGTATCACAGTTCTTTAAACCAGTGAGCAAGCAGGGATAATCACTTACCTGTACTTGGTCCAATTAGAATTCTTTCATGGGAAGAACCTGGATCATGTCTTTCCCCTGCATTAAGCCTGTAAGAGCTCCCCATTTTCTCCAGATAAAATCTGAACAATGCCTTTCCTAAGCGCTTGCCTTTTTATATCTCTGCTTCTATGTCCACCCTTCCCCTCAACTCTACACTCAGACATAAACTACAGAACTATTCCAAACTCACCACATTTTCTCTTGCCTCTGGGCCTTTTTGGTACTATTTCCTCTGCCTAAAGTACTGCTTCCTTCCTGTCCATCTAGATCAGTGGTTCTCAACCTTGGCTGCACATTAGAATCACCTGGGAATCTTTTTAAAATCCTGATTTCTGGGCCTCATCCTCTGGAAATGCTGTTTCTTTGTTATGGGGTGGGGCCACAACATTAGTAACAAAGAAACAGAATTTCCAGAGGATGAGGCCCAGAAATCAGGATTTTAAAAAGATTCCCAGGTGATTCTAATGTGCAGCCACGGTTGAGCACCACTGATCTAGATAATTCCAATTCACCCTTCCAGCCCTCAGTTTAGATGTCACTTCTTCCCGATTGTCATCAATGATCTCTAAAGACCAGGTGGGTGCCCCTACGTTTACCTCATGGAAGCACTAACCACCCAATGTGCCCAATAATGTAAGACCGGCTCTGTTCTTACATCCACCCCAGCGTAGCAATAGCATGTAGCTCAGTGCCTGCCTCAACACCCCCCAAAACTGTTGTGTAGAATAACTCACATGCCACCAGAGATAGCACTGCCTTCCAAGTGGATTAGGTAGACTACTAGTGTTCTGTCTTACCAAATTCGCTCATGTCATCTACCAAAATAATTTCTTCAAGGATCTGGTGTGGAGTGAGGTTCATGACACTGGACACTGTCCGAAACAAGGTGTTGAATTCTTCATTGTGGAAACAAATGACAATGCTGGCAGAAGGTAGCCTGGTTGGGTAGCGTTTTTTAAGACACCTGCAGGCATAGATGAGAGAAAGAAAAATGATTCATGTTTTGGGATTGCAGCTAACCTGGTCTCAAACTATATCACAAAGCTATAGTAACCAAAACAATATGGTATTGGCATAAAAATAGACATGTGGATCAAAGAAACAGAATAGAGTCCAGAAATAAGCCCATGAATATATGCTCAATTAATTTATGACAAAGGAGGCAAGAATATACAATGGGGTAAAGACAGTCTCTTCTATAAATTGTGTTGGGAAAACTGGACAGCCACATGCAAAAGAATGAAACTGGACCACTATCTTACACCATACACAAAAAAATCAATTCAAAATAGATTAAAGACTTGAATTAAGACCAGAAAGCATAAAACTTCTAGAAGAAAACATAGATGGTAAGCTCATTGAGATCAATCTTGGCAATGTTTTTTTGGTTTTGACAAAAATAAGGGCAACAAAAGCAAAAATAAATAAGTTGGACTGCATCAAACTAAAAAGCTCCTGCATTACAAAGGTGAGCCATTAATAAAGTGAAAAGGCAACCTAGTGAATGAGAGAAAATATTTGCAAATCACATACCTGGTAAGGGGCTATATCTAAAATATATAAAGAACTCTCACAACTCAATGGCAAACAAACAATATGATTTGTTAAATGGGCAGAAGATCTGAATAGGTATTGTTGTAAAGAATACATACAGATGGCCAACAGGTACACGAAAAGATGCTCAGCATCTCTAATCATCAGGGAAATGCAGGTCAAAACCAAAATGAGATATCCCCTCACACCTGTTGGAATGGCTGTTATAAAAAAGACAAGGAATAGCAAGTGTCGGCGAGGCTGTGGAGAAAAGGGAGCCCTGGTGCTCAGTGGGTAGGAATGAATTTACATTGGTGCAGCCACTATAGAAAGCAGTATGGAGCTTCCTCAAAAGTTAAAAATAAAGCTGCCACATGGCTCAACAATTCCATTATAGGCACTTATCTGAAGATAACAAAAACACGACCTCGAAAAGCTATCTGCGCCCCATGTTCATTACAGCATTGCTTACAGTAGCCAACACATGGAAACAATCCAGTGTCCACTGGTAGATGAATGGATTAAAAAAAAGCTATAATAAAACCATAAAAAGTTCCATCAAAAAATGGAACCATAAAAGGAAGGAAATCTTGCCATTTGCAACAACATGGATGGACTTTGAGGGCATTATGCTAAGTAGAATAAGTCAGAAAAAGACAAATTCATATAATCTCACTTACATGTGGAATCTAAACAACAACTCCCATATCCCTCCCCGCTTCCCTCCCCGCTTACCCCCCCCCCCACCCCCGCCCCGGGGGCAGGAAAACCAAGCTCATAGATACAGAGAACCGAATGGTGGTTGCCAGAGGCAGAGGGTGGGCGAAAGGAGCAGGCCAAAGGTACAAACTCCCAGTTATAAAGTCAGTCAGTCCTGGGGTGTACAGACAGCATGGTGACTGTAGGTAATACCACTGTATTGCATATTTAAAAGTTGCAAGGAGAGCCTGGCCAGCATGGCTCAGTGTTTGAGCGTCGACCCATGCAACAAGAGGTTGCTGGTTCAATGCCCAGGTTTCCGTCTTGATCCCCAGCAGGGGGTGTGCAGGAGGCAGCCAATCCATGTTGATGTTTCTTTCTCATTGATGTTTCTATCTCTCTTTCCCTCTCCCTTTCTCTCTTTATAAAATCAATGAAAACATATTTAAAAAAATAAAAGTTGCGAGGAGAATTGATCTTAAAAGTTCTCATCACAAGAAAAAAATATATTTTGAAACGATGTATGGTGACTGATGTTAACTAAATTTATTGTGATTATTTTACAATATACACTAATATAAATTCATTATGTTGTACACCTGAAACTAATATAATGTGATATGTCAATTATATTTCAATACAAAAGAAATGGAGAAACATACATTTTATCTCTGGTATCTGGCACATGTCTCTGATTGCCCAAGCTTTTACTGATAATGGTATTAAGTCCATATAGTAAAATCCCATGAAGAAATTCTGGGTCCGAATAGTTAAAATTCTCATCTGTAAGAATAGGTAATTAGAGTCACTAAGTATTGACTTACTACCATCACTTTGATAAAGGGATAACATTTTTTACATATTTTTATTGATTTCAGAGAGGAAGGGAGAGGGAGAGATAGAAACAGCAATGATGAGAGAGAATCATTGATTGGCTGACTCCTGTATGCCCCCTACTGGGGATCGAGCCTGCAATCTGGGCATGTGCCCTTGATTGGAATCGAACCCGGGACCCTTCAGTCCACAGAGCCATCCACTGAGCGAAACCAGCTAGGGCAAAGGGGTGATATTTTTTTAAAACGGGTGATATTTTTAAGTCTACCTATTAAAATTTATTCTTTATGAAAAGCAGAAAGCTACCTAAACAAATATAACAAACTATATTTAAAAATTGTTAAATTCAGGTGCTAAATGTATACACACCTATTCTATTATTTTTTGTATATAGCATATACAAATATTTCATAATTTAAAAATTGAATTGGTCTAAAAGGACAGTCTCTCTTGCAAATATTAAATATATGACATATTTTCCCCTTAAAATGGCTAACAGAGAAATTCAAAATAGTTACCTAATTTAAAAAATGGATGCCATTCTTTAGTTTGATCTTTGTTAGGTCTTTCAGTTCTTACATATTGTCCTGGTATTTGCCTTGAGCGTGGTATTTGCCCTGCGCTGTGGATAGCTTGCTGTTGCAACTTTTTATCAAGTTTCCAAATTGATGCAGGCGCCTGGGTTTTCTTCTGCCAGTTGCTCACATGATCACGGTGAAAATGTACATATAACAGAGCTGACAAGATCCCAAGTGTCAAGGTTCCACAGAGTAAACACAGGACTGTGACATTTCGCATTGTAAATCTAGCATTTTTTAGGGTCCATTCTTAAATTTCCTAAAGCAGAAGGATTTGGGAGAAGCTGTATTAGACATTTCAATGGTTTGTAGGGTCACCTACTTGACTTAAATTCCATTTTCAGCATTTTAAAAACAATCATTTTGCTATCGATGCTTATTATGTATTTTGATAAAATAGTATACTTTCTTCTATTATCAGCAACTCTTAAAACTGATATTCTTAAGATTACATAACATAAAAATGTATAAGATGCTTATAAAACGTACAATATAATTAGAAGTCACTGGTCGATATTCCTGAGCATGGAGTTAATAGAAATAATGTGAAAGGTTTACGCATCAGTCCATCTTGGGGTGATAGTATAGGTATCTATTTTAAAAATCTGATTTAACATCAATCAGGCTGTTAAAAACATAAAAACACAATATCACATGCTGTGTGAATACAATATTCATACAATATTCACAACATGGGGAAAACGGGCAGTGAAAACTGTGGTACCCCCTGAGGGACAGTGAAATGGTGCAACCGAGTTGGTAGCACGGAGTTAGGTTGAATCTGTACATAGGGTACACATCCCTAGGAGTGCACCCTGGGGAGGCTCCCACGAGACATGCATGAGCACAATTCTTTTTTTTTTTTTTAAATATATTTTACTAGAGGCCCGGTGCACAAAAATTTGTGCACTCGGGGGGGAAGGGGGGTCCCTCAGCCCGGCCTGTGCCCTCTCGCAGTCTGAGACCCCTCGGGAGATAACGACCTGCTGGCTTCGGCCTGCTACCGGGTGGCAGAGGGCAGGCCCAATCCCTAGGTGCAGCCCCTGGTCGGGCTCAGAGCAGGGCCGATTGGGGAGTTGAGGGACCGCCCCCTGTCACACTCAAGGCAGGGTCGATAGGGAGGTTGCGGTGCCACCCCCTGTCACACACAGAGCAGGGCCCATCAGGGGGTTGGGGAGCTCCCCCCTGTCACACACAGAGCATGGCTGATCAGAGGGTTGGGGCTCCGCACCCTGTCACACCCAGAGCCCGCAGGGCGATCAGGGGTTTGGTCGCTGCCCCCTGTCACACTGATCCCGGTGCTGGGAGGACTCGCTGCTCCACTGATCCCGGGGCCAGGACGCCTCTCGGCTCCGCTGACCCCTGTCCGGGAGGCCTCTCAGCTCCACTGATCCGGGGGTCCTGAGGCCTCGAGGCTCCGCCGATCCCTGGACAGGAGGCCTCTCGGCTCCGCTGATCCCCTGGGAGGCCTCGTGGCTCCGCTGATCCCGGGGCTGGGAGGCCTCTCGGCTCCGCTGGTAACCGGGGCTGGGTCGCCTCTCAGCTCCGCTGATCGCAGGCCAGGAGGCCTCTCAGCTCCGCTGATCCCGGGGCTGGGAGGCCTCTCAGCTCCGCTGATCCCAGGGTCCTGAGGCCTCTCAGCTCCGCTGATCCCAGGGCCGGGAGGCCTCTCAGCTCCGCTGATCCCAGGGTCCTGAGGCCTCTCAGCTCCGCTGACCCCTGGCCGGGAGGCCTCTCAGCTCCACTGATCCGGGGGTCCTGAGGCCTCGAGGCTCCGCCGATCCCTGGACAGGAGGCCTCTCGGCTCCGCTGATCGCGGGGCTGGGAGGCCTCTCGGCTCCGCTGATCCCAGGGTCCTGAGGCCTCTCGGCTCCGCTGATCGCGGGGCTGGGTCGCCTCTCGGCTCCGCTGATCCGGGGGCCGGGAGGCCTCTCTGCCCTGCCGCTTCAGGGCTGCTTGGCTTCGCTCTGCTTGGAGCCTGAGTATGCAAATTAACTGCCATCTTTTAGCTTCTATAATTGAAACATTGTATCTTTTGGAGTTGTTGCTTCAGGAGCTCAGAGCCCTGCACCTGGAGACAGGGAACCTTGGCTTCCTCCATCGCTGGGGCAACCAAGCCTCCTGTTCTCAGCTGCCTGGCTGCCGGCCGCCATCTTGGCTGACAGTTAATTTGCATATCTCCCTGATTAGCCAATGGGAAGGGTAGCGGTCGTACGCCAATTACCATGTTTCTCTTTTATTAGTGTAGATTGATTTTTTTACAGAGAGGAAGGGAGAGAGATAGTTAGAAACATCGATGAGAGAGAAACATCGATCAGCTACCTCCTGCACATCTCCCACTGGAGATGTGCCCGCAACCCAGGTACATGCCCTTGACCGGAATCGAACCTGGGACCTTTCAGTCTGCAGGCCGACGCTCTATCCACTGAGCCAAACTGGTTTCGGTGAGCACAATTCTTGAAGTCGTGTTTGTGATAGAAACAGGACACTTCTGTTTCTCTCTACAGAAGAACTGGGAAAGGGAGGCTGTTCCATCAGTGCTGGGAATGAACCAGCTGCAGCTCTATGGATTAATATTGTGAAATATCAGAAAACAATGTTTTCCAAAAACAAATAGGGTCTGATGCTACCGATACACATTTGCAAAACATGAGAAGCAGTGCAATTGTTTGTGGCCACACCATATGCAGGAAATAATGGGGGGTTAGGGGGGCGGGAGTGCACGCAACTATACACAGGTTTAGCATAGTGATTGCTCCTGTGGGGGAGGATCCAGGGGAGGACAATGAGAGCTCCTAATGCTTAAAAAAGCACACACACACACACACACACACACACACACCCCACACGCACACACACCCCTCTGAGCCCTGTCTAGGTCACTCAGTTGGTTAGTGCGTTGTCCTGAAATGCCAAGGTTGCAGGTTCAGTCCCGGGTCAGGACACAAATACGAATCAACCAATGAATGCATAACTAAGTAGAACAACAAATCGACGTTTCTCTCTCTCCCTCTCTCGCTCCAAAAATCAAATAATAAAGCTCTGAAGTGGATGTGCCAAAACAATGAAGTTTGACAAATCTTGGTGAGGTGTACCTGGTGTGTGTGGCATTTTTCTCTATATTTCCCTCAGGTTGGAAATACTTCATAATTTATGAGATTAATTATGACTCCTGGCTCTTCTCGTATCTCTACTAGGGATGAAAGTAAAGCTAAAGCCCCAGGCAAAGGAAACGAAAGAGAAAATAACAAACGGGACGACATCAAAATAAACAGCTTCCGCAGCAGAAGCCGCCGCCAACAAAACGAAAGGGGCCCACTGTGCAGGAGAACATATTTGGCAACGATACATCTGATAAAGGGTTAATCCCCAAAACATATAAGGAACTCACACACCTTAACAAAAGGAAGACAGACAATCCAACTGAAGAATGGGCAAAGGACCTAAATAAACACTTGTCCAAAGTGGACATACAGATGGCCAAGAGACATGAAAAATGCTCAAAGTCACTGATCATCTGAGAGATGCAAATTAAAATGACAATGAGTATCACCTCACCTGTCAGAATGGCTACCATCAACAAATCAACAAACGACAAGTGCTGTCGAGGATGTAGAGAAAAGGGAACCCTCGTGCACTGCTGGTGGGAATGCAGGCTGATGCAGCCATTATGGAAAACAGTATGGAGGTTCCTCAAAAAATTAAATATGGAACTGCCATTGACCCAGTGATTCCACTTCTAGGAACATATCCTAAGAAACCTGAAACACCAATCAGAAAGAATGTACGCACCCCTATGGTCATAGCAGCACAGTTTACAATAGCTAAGATCTGGAAACAGCCCAAGTGCCCATCAGTAGACGAATGGATAAAAAGGCTGTGGTACATTTACACCATGGAATACTATGCAGCTGTAAAAAAGAAGGATCTCTTACCCTTTGAGACAGCATGGAGGGACCTGGAGAGTATCATGCTAAGTGAAATAAGTCAGTCAGAGAAAGACAAGTATCACATGACCGCACTCATATGCGGAATCTAAGTAACAAAATAAACTGATGAACAGAGTGGATCCAGAGACATGGAAGCATGGGACAGAGTGCAGAATCTTGGCGGGAAAGTAGGGGAAGGTGGGTGAGTGGGAGGTAATCAACCAAAGACCTTGTATGCTTATATGTGTAACCCATGGACGCAGATAGTGGGGTAGTGAAGGTCTGGGGTGGGGGGTGGGTATGAGCTAGAGGGGGCCAATGGGGGGAAAAGGGGAACAAATGTAATACTTTCAACAAGAAAAATGTAAAAAAATATATAAAACTAAAGCCTTGTCCAGGTGGCTCAGTTGGTTGGAATGTCATCCCATACACCCAAAGGTTGAGGGTTCAATTCCTGGTCAGGGCACATACCTAGGTTGTGGGTTTGAACCTGTTTGGGGTGCATGTGAGAGGCAACCTATGGATGTCTCTCTCACATCGATGTTTCGCTCTGTGTTTCCCTCTCTCTTCCACTTTCTCTAAAAATCAATGGAAAAATATCCTCGGGTGAGGATTAAAAAAATGAAAATAAAAATAATAGTAAAGCTAAAAACCCTCTTGGGGAAAGAATAGATAAAGGACTGTATGAGATTGTAGCACAGGTTTGGAAGACAGAAGGCTATGGACATGTGATAAAGATTTTAGATGGACAGAGGAAATCACAGTCCGAGCGCGTGGTGACAGGACCCTGAGGGGGACCGAGTCCAGCAGATCCCGGAGCAGCTTGGGACATGGAGGTACAGGCATGTCGGCCGACACATGGAGGGGCGGGTTTAGGAAAGGCCATGAGTTCATGTGCAGAACAGTCCATTCTCCCGCCCTGCCCTGCACAGACCCTGCAGACGGAAGCCTGCAGGGGCTGAGAACTGCAGAAGGCAACGTGGGGCTCAAGACCGTCTGGCCCACGTGGCCCCGTTTCCACCGCGCACACAGGCTCCTGGCAGCCAGCTTGTTGTACCCGAGGCATCAGCTGGGAGAATCATTCCATGATGAGAAGACAGGCCCCAGAGAAAACCTCCACATGCTGAACCGTGGGGTGACCCAAAGAGCAGCCGACAGCCGTGTGTCACCTCGAAGACAGCACACCTGTGGCCTGGGTCACACACGCACCCAGAGATGCCAATCGGCGGTTAGTATCTCACTTTCCCATGGGAATGGAATGCTGCCACGAGCTGAATGGTGTCCCCCAAAC